TCATACGAGTTACCAGGCTTTCCCTACCGGGTATTCCGATTGGAGCAAGGAGGAAAAGGCCCGCTGAAAAACCACAGCAAAACTCGCAGGCTCATGGATCAGGCATCTTTGCTTTCTGATGCCCAGCGTCGAACTGCGTTGTTCTGCATTGTCTCGGTTGTTCACTGTGGGGCAGTGTTGAAAGAAGTTGCAGTCAGGTTAGTCACACTCCACCGCCTCGAGACGAAGTCTAGTCCGTGGTGCGACTCAAACAAAGATCTCATGGCGGAAGTTTCCCACGCTCCACACGATCAGACGATCAACTGCTGGGATTGCCCCCCATGCGGCAGATCGATTGATGTGCCGATTCGTGGCTCCTGGAGATCTCCGGCTCCCAGAGATCTCCAGCGCATGGAAATCTCCGACTCCCGGAGATTTCCGGCTCGCGGACATCTCCGGTCCCGGAAATCTCAGGATCCCGGGCGATTTTGACTCCTGGAAAACTTCGTCTTAAGCTCCAGGGAGCAAGGCTGATTTTCCAGCTGGCCGGGGCTTCCCAGAATGAGGAGAAAGGGGGGGGTGTTCATGTTGACTTGCGGCCGATGTGGCCGAACGTAATGAAAGACGGGCTGATCCGGGGTGTGTCCGTAGAGTCCGTTCATTTCAAGTCCACACAGTGCACGCTGGAAGCCTTCCGTCTTATGCAGTGTCTGCAGGCTACAAGGCTTCTGGAAAGGGCCGGCAGGGAGGCGCGTCCGAGAGGGTGAGCACCGGTGGTTGAGGAGATTTCAACGAAAGCACCGGAAGGCAATGGCGGCAAAGCCGGCAAAGGCGGCAAAGGCGGGAAGGGCAAGGCCAAAGGCGGCAAACCAGCCGCCGCAGCCGCCGCACGGGCCTCGGACGTCTGTGGTATGGAGTGGAGGCAAAGCGTCACGGCCAAGGCTCCGGTGACTCCAGCTCCCGCTGCTGCCGAGAGTGGTGGAGGCCGAAGGGCGCGTTCACTTGCTTGCATCACGTTGCAGCATGTATATGCATCGCAGGCACCGAGAAATCCTTTCAGTTCCAGCTGCTCGGCAGAGCTGAGACGTGGGTTGGGACATGCTGGGTGGAAATTCCCGAAGTGCGCTTCGCCAGGTAAGAGCTCCTGATGCTGAGAGGGCTGGTTTCTGGATGTTTCTGGTGTCCTTCCGTGGTTCGCGTGGGTTCCCAGAGACCTTGTGGGCGGGGCCTGCTCCTTTTTAGGCCCCTCGCTGCATCTGATTGGGCAAGTCTTGACATGTAGACTTCTCAGACATGGCCCTGGGTGACCCACGGAGAACGGCGGAAGTTGACCTTTTCGCTTTTTTCTGCTTGACAAAAGCATTTGCAGCCGAAGGCTGAAGGTATCTGGGCATGGTGCATGGTCTGCCTCCGCCTGCCGCACACTGCCAGAGCTTGAAGTTCGAACTTGCTGCAGCATGTGGTCCAAGACACGTCGTAGCTTCGCTTGTTGGCAGCTGGCACGCGGTGCGGGGCCAAGAGTGCTAAGAGTGCTTGCCGGGTCCAATTCAACCTCGGCTTCATCGGAGTGCGCAGGTCCATGGTGTTGACGGATCCCGGCGGAGGTGAATGGGTTGTTTTCGGGATAGGGTTAGGTGTCCGGGGTCCAGTAAGGCGTGAGTTGCTTGTGCCATGGTGCCTTCAATGGACTCATTTTGGCTCTGCATATCTCGCGGTTTTGTTCAGCCATGGCAAGTGGCGACCCTGTTCTATGGGCTGCCCAGCGCCAGGCCAAGATTGCGGCAGCCAGGGCACTCCGAGAGCAGCACAGAGATGGCCTGACCGAGCAGCACACCTTCCATCCCAAGTGTTTGCCTCGTCGGCCTCCCTCTGGCTCTGAGCGAGAGACTCCCGAGAGTCAGAGCCGTCCTTCTCCCCAGAAGGCCTGCCTCCTACCCCGCCGCATGGCCCGCGCCTCGTCGCGCGGGGCAAGTCCTAGCCTTCGTCGTCTTCCGGACGCATCGGAGGGCCCCAGAAAGCTCCCGGAAAGCGACAGCAGAACAGAAGGCTCTGGAGGCTATGCACATGGCAATGTGCTCCCCAAGCCTCCGAAGAGCCGGGTCCGTGGCCCAAGCCCAAGCCCGATCGCGCGGCCCAAAGAGGAAATGAGCCGCAAGACTTCTTCCCCACGCTCGCAGCCTCGCTGGGTTGAGTCGAGGCACTGTAAGGCGAGCGAAGCAATGCAGGCCGGCGTCCCGGCTGAGGAGGACCAGGATCTTTCTGTTTCCCTCCTTGGCACCTCCCGCTTCATTGCCGAAGACGAATGCAGTGAGGCGACACCATCGGCGTGTGTTTCTTGGATTCTAGCTTACATTGCTGCGATGCTTCCCTGAGGCTGCGGGTGTGCTGGAGGCCAGCTTCGAGGCCTTGCGGAGATGTGAGTTATGTGCAGAAGGTTCTCGCAGAAGCCTGCACTGAGATTCGCGCGCAGGCGTCCTCGAAGCTTCTCTGCTTGGACTCCAGTGCCACCTGGGAAAATCGCTGAAGCAAAGAAAAGAGTGACGAGACAACGGACGAGCGAGCGCCAGGCCAGACCACGAGGCAGCCGAGCGCGGCTAAGGAGACTTCTCTGAGAGGGCAAAGCCCAGGCAAGGGCCAAGGCATGGGCAAAGGCAAGGGCGAGGCAGGCAAAAGGCTCCAAGGCCTTGGACACTTTGCGCACCTGCGCGCGGTCTCACTCGGCGGGGGCCCTTCCGACTCAAGCACACAGCGTGGCCGTGGCCCATATGAGTGTCTCGATCCAGTCTGCTTGTTCTGTGACTTGCATCAGGCTTGTAAGAGTCCCAGATTGAAACTCCATGCAAATTGTTGCATCAGCGAACGTTCTGCGGCGATTTTGGGCTCAGAGCGTTCCAGCCGCTAGGCACCGCAGTGCCACGCCCCCTTCGAGGGGAGAGGGGGCCAGATCCTACAGAAACTCAGCCCGAGCCCCTCCCACAGGACTCCTGCAGCCCCGAGTCTCAGCGCGGAAGACCCAGGAGTAGCTCAGATAGCTAAAGTGTAGCTGCTGTAGCTCTGAGTTTGGGGGCCGTGTTCGGGCATGGCCTGTCTCGGTGGCAGCCTTTCAGCCTTGGACCTCCGGTTTGCCTCTCTTGAGGATGAGGGGAATTTCCTGGCTTTGCTGGCAGAGAGACGGCGGCTCCATACTTTGGTCAGCGGAATCTCGGTGGCAGCTGTCTGGCTCTATGTGCAACTCGTCTTGGCCGAAGTCCTGGACCTCAGAACGTGGCTCACTCTCTGCAGTGCTCTGGCCTGGCTTCTGGCTGCAGTCGCGATGGCCGTGCCACTAAAGTCCAAACTCTGCATCAACCAGGAGTGGATTTGGGTGCCCTTGGCATCTTTCTGTTGTGCCCTCATGGCACAGCCGCGCTCCGAAGAAAATGGCCCGTCGAGGCTTGGCCTCGTGTCTGTGGCCGTGAGTGCGACTGCCATGCTCCCTCTGAGGAGTGCCGTTAGCTGGTTGGTCTATGTAGTGGCTGTCTTGTCCTTCGTCTTAGGCTCTTTTGACTCTGCGGTTCCCAGTCCGGCTGTTGTCGGGGCCGATAGTGTCGCCCTGCTGCTGGTGGCGACGAGCTTCTACCACGCAGGTTGGTGTCGCGAGGTCTACGCACGCGGCTCCGCAGTGTCGGAGGAGCTCCTCGAGGCTGAGGCCCCCGGCAAGGCCCTTCCTCCGGAAGACTTGCAGTCCGACGAGGAGAATCCGGAAAAGGAGCCCGTGGAGGTGCCGGACCATCTGGTCCTCCGCATCGCCGGCGACCTGACCATCCTGCCGTCCCGAGCTGAGATGCAGCCTTGAGATTTCTGTGCCCTGCATCCTAGTGCATACTGAGTACAGTACCCCTGATTCACAAGAACACAACTTCGTCAAAAGATTAGTTGGATGCGGTCGGTACCATCGATGCAACCAGGTGCAGCATTGCAGAGCACCGATACTTCGGGGCGGATCCTACAGGGAAGTCATTGCTGGATTATTTGGCCTCGGAAGATCACCACTCAGTCTTGCTGCTTATCCGTTCTGAACTGTGGCACTCGAGAAGCATCATTGTCCGCATTCAGCTGGCTTCGCGGCACGAGTCACTGCGTCTCCGCTTGCTTCAAACGGGTGCAGCAGAACCGGCCTGGTTAGCTTTCCTCTCGGCAGTTGATGCTTCCACTCGCATGCAGGCAGTCTTGCCATCTGTACCGGATGACGACTGTCAGAGCATTGCAAGTCAGAGTATAGCTATCTCTGCCGGGCCCACGAGGCATACGAAGCGATCGCTGTCTCAAAAGTCCATGCGCTCTATTCGTTCGATCGAAGAGCATTCCAGCCCCAGGCTCCACTTGCAAGGAGGCGAGAATCCTCCAAGCCCGTCCCTGCGCATTCCGATCTTCCAATCCAACGCCAGCCTGGGCGAGGACAGGAGGGGGGACGCTTCACACAGCATCTTTAGCATTTCGGCTTGCAGTTGGTCCTTCTCCACGGATGGGTACAAGGGCCTGGCGCCAGTGAGGTCCACCAGCGAGGGGCAAAGCCAGACGGAGCTGGTCTGGAACGACCTGGGCTGGCAGTGCCGGAATTGTGCGAAGCCACCGAAGCCGCCGTCCACGCCGCCCGAAGCCATGGCATACATGGCGCCCAGTGTTATAGGCAAAGTCAGATCGAGGAATTCCAATGGCAAGAATCAAGCTTACCGAGCATTGTCCCCGGAAGAGAGGCGAAATGACCAGCTTTTGCGAATGCAAGGCTGTTGGGTGCTATGCGATGGTCCCTCCAAAATGGTGGGCTGGCTTCACGGTTTTGTCATTACAGGAGAGCAAGTGCGCACCACCCAAGGAGCAACACTGCTGCAGTACGACGAGCATTGCAACATCCTGCTGGCTGGAGGCACCTTGACCAGCTTAGGACTGAGATTGTGAGGGCATGAGAGCATAATAGCAGGTGCCTGCAGCATCTCAGGATATTTGTCTGTCGACGAGAATGATAACCTCCAGCGCAACGGCAAGAGTGGCGGTCAGTATTTGTACGTTCGTGTAAATGAAGGTGCGGCCGAGTTTGTCATGTTTTCTCATCCCAACAAGGTGTCTGGATATAGTCATGCACCAGTAAGAACTTAGAAGGGGGAACCTTCCTTGAACCTTTCGCGATGTGTTCAGTGCCACAGGAGATCTGAACCGGTGCATGCAGCCCAAGCGGAGCTCCTCTCTCAACTCCATGGTATCTGCAGTTCCTGCTCCAGGTGCTTCCGTATATCACGTCAGTCCCTAAGAGGGACCCTTCTTCCCAGGCTGGGGTACCAGTTCTGGCAGATCTAGCCACATCCAACACGATGATGGAAGACCTTCGGCTGATAGAAGGCTTTTCCCTGTTCCATTCAATCTTCGGCATCGCAGCTGGATAGCCGGCTGCCTTTTTCAAGCCTGCAAAGCAGCAGTCCCTACAGTTGCAGGGTACAATGGGGTAGAACTTAGCAGCAATCCTGGTGTCAAAGGCACCAGCCGCTTCACGCCAGGTGGCTCGGGAGGTCTAGGAACAACACAGAAGGATTCTAGGATTTTGCCAAGGCTTGTAACACTTAACAAGAGTTGAGTTGCTGTTCCTGGGTCAAGCAGCCACCAGCATACAAGAAAGAGCACACCCGCCGTACACAAAAAAAGGGTTTCGATGTCCGGTAGGGGCCCTTGCAAGGCGAGCTGTGCTTGTACCGGTAGCATGTGCAGGGCTGCATTTGCAGGATTGCGGTGTCGATGTTGCAACATTGGATCGGGGTTGCTTCGTTTCCGTGAAGCACAGCTGCCATGCAATGGCTTGGGTAGATCATGATTAATCAAGGTTCCTGAGCAGGAGTCCAACGTCCAGCAGCCCAGCAGATATGACACAGCTCTCCGGCAGCTGCCATCGAATGCTTGACCCATCTCCGAGAATACTCGGGAAAGAGGACCCGAACACACCCAGACCAACATGAAGCGGAGAGAAGCGGATTTTCCCTGGTAGACCGGCTCTGATCAGGCAACTGGCAAGGCAAAGATGTGGAGTGTTGGAGCTCCCCAGAGGCCAGGGGCGGGCCTTTCACTGTCCTGTGGTGCCTTCTTGGGTTCCGAGGTGCAAGCCTTCCTAGCAGCGGTGCTACCAGGCACACAGAGACCTAATTCTGTTGGGGTCTGCGAGTCCGGCTCTAGGCACCCCACACTCGGCTACCTCTTGCGAAATGTTGCAGTAAAGAGCTTCTGATATGACTTCGAGCTCGAGGCAATATCAAAAATCGAGAGCAAGGCGGCAAATTTTGGAAGAAGCTTCCGGCGTCGAATCCTGGAGCTCGTTGAAGCAAAGGGCTTGCGTGACACGCACGGCTGCGTAGTCCTACCCTGATGGATGCTCCACCAAAGTAATCATTCATTTGCTGGCATGTGACCTTGAACCGTTTAAAATTGGCACTGGTCGGGTTGTGATGTTCACTAGAGCCGCAAAGTCTATCAATGTCCAGGATGGGGGCGATGATGATAATTATGACGATGATGTGATCGCGGTGGTGGTGATGATGATAACGATGATGATGATGATGATGATGATGAGCAGGATGAGGATGATGATGATGATGATGATTATGACGACATCTACCATACTTCCGACCTGTCCGACCACGTAGAGCAGCTATAACAGTTAGAACTGATAGCGCCATAAATGCTGAGAGCTGTTGACTGTGCTGCTAGCGTTAACAGTGGCACTGGTAGCCATAACAAGCTTTCAACATCTGTCGTGCAGTTTTCAGACTGCTCGGCTTGCCCAGCCCATGTCAAGAGCTCCAGAGGCTGTGTTTCGATCACTCAGCCCCAAACCAAAAGCGGAAGACCTCACATGTTCTTCCAAAGCTTGTGGGATTCGGAACACTTACCGGAATCTCTAGGCAGGATTAATTTATCCTTGCCGTGCGGGCGGGGGGGGGGGGACACCTTGAAACTTAAGCAGGAATAGAGGGTCTGATGGGGCTGGCACTACTGTGGACGAACGTCGGAGAGCGCTGGGTGTGTCAGTGCACTCCTCTGAGCCTTACTTGGGAGGCCATGCAGCAGCGGCAGCCTTGGGTCATTGCAGTGGCAAGGCCGCCCGGATCGTCGGGCTTCGAACCCCGTCAAACGCCGCCGCAAGCTCGCTATCGCGGGCGTCTGCCGTTGCTGCTGCACCTTTCGTGAGCTCGCGCAGTGAGCAGGTGCTTGCCACGTTGTCAAAAGAAGACCTTCGCCGACAGGTGCAGAACTGTTATGCCTGTCATGCTACGGGGGTTGACGAACCTTTGGCCAAGAGAACCCTTGGGGATGGTGCTGAGGCCAAAGACGAGGAAGCCGCAAACGTGATATTTGCCGAGCTCGCGCGGATTAAGCAGGCTCTCAAGTTCTCGTCCATTGTTGGTGTGATCCTGTGCTGACGGGTGACTGCCAGCTAGCAGTCCATGACATGACCTGGTCTGTGAAGGTCCAGGACCACGTCAGCCAGATCAATGCATCTGGCGCACAGTCCGGGTCAAAGCCACCCCAGCGAGGTTCTGTGCCGCTAGAGAAATTTCGTGCTTAGGATTGGAGGCTAAGTCGAAGGAACAAGTCCTGGCCCCTTCCGTAGGTTTTTCCCTTGCTAAGGCCGTTTCAGCTTCACATACGAACGCCGGCGGACGTGGTGCTGCAGCTTGAGGTTCGAACCCATAATCACTTGAGAGCTTTTGAAACGCATTGGGAGCTGACCAGGTACATCCGACTGACACCATCAGTCATGTCAAGGCCAGGGATATCCCGTAAGCGAGACAGACGTCCCGGATTTTGCTTGTAGGCGCGGCTGGCATCGCTGGAAGGCACTCCTGTGCGGCCCACATAGAAGCGAGGGCGTAGTTCTGAGAGCTTTGTCCCTGAGAGTCTGAGGTGGAGCGCCAGAGGCTCGTCCTCCAAGGCAGCCCGTTGCTAGACAGCCGCAGCCTGGCGGTGGGCCCCTTAGAGCCTCGGACGTGTGGGCCGCCGAACTGAAAGCCCTGTCTAAGTCTTGTGGCATCGGCGAGTCGTCGTGGCCTTAAGGGCCTTGCAAGCGTCGGAGTTGCGCTTCGATTCTTCGATAGTTGCTCTCGGACTGAGGACGGTGCTGCTGCTGGTGCCCAGACTAAACCAGCCGCAAGCTGAGATTCACCTCTCCACATTCGCTGCAGCTTCTCTTCTCAGTTGCGTGCCAGCTTTGCCCCTTCAAAGGGTTGACCTGGGCGGGACAGGTCGGGCGCCCGCAGCTTTGCCCCGGCAACCGGCCACAGCCCCAGGCTGATTGCTTGGAACCATGTCAATGTGGAGGCTCAATGCCCCGGCTTGTGAACCCAACATTCTAAACCTGCTGCCGGGGCCGACAGGCTTTGTGGCTGCTGCTCGGTTTTGCACAGACAGATTTCGGTGGCAGCATCAAGGGAGACGGGTACGGCTCGAAGGACGCTTAGGACCTTAGGACATCTTAGGACTACCGCAACCGTTTCGGCCTTCGCCACATTTTGCCACTGCTGACTCCAGTGCTGCTGAATCCTCCTGGCGGGTGCCTCTCCTGGTGCCTCATTTCACGACTTCACGACTTCCTTTTTGCTTCCCAATTGGCCCGTATCGACACATACACCAACACACGCTCAAGGTTGCACAGCAAGCTGAGGGATCTACTTGCCTTGGCTGAGTTCCGGCCCCACCGAAGCCTCTCGCCGGCACGCCGCGGCCCCGAGTGCCTCTGGTGCTGGCCTGAGAAAGTCCGCCTGTTACTGTGGCCATGGTCCTCCGTAGGCGAGACAGGGAAGCTGGTATGGGGGTTTTGATGACCTGCAGCTACAGGTGTGCACAGACATCACGCGACCTTTTCCGATGAGCTTGGAGTTTATAAGCATTGCAGAGCCGCTCGGCAAACCAAAGACTATCGGATTGTAGCCAATGTCAAGCTTCTGTTGATGCGCTGCGCATGTGTCTGCGGATTTATGGCGCAGGTATCAGTCCTTTATGCTGGCCATACAGCGGCAGGACGGCATAATTAGAGTTTGGCACTGCGTCGTCTCCTTACGTTGGAAATAGGTGGGACGGAGGTCACTGACGTCCACACTCTCAGCCGTCGTCGAGGCAATTCAGCATACCTTCAGTTGCCTTGCCAGTGCCTTGTTGCTGCCCGTGCAACATCTAGTCGCTCTGCAAGTGCGCATTTGGGCTCAG